AAACGTCTGTTTTCAGATTTGCTTGCAGCATTAAACTCAGAGCTTTTCCTGCCAACTGGCTCATTTTAATACTCGTCATCCTGCAGCTGCACACTCCTGTTCACCGTGAGCAGCAGAACAGAATGCATGTGGAAATATATGAAAGTGTGTGTGTGTGTGTGTGTGTGTGTTTACCATCTGAGCTCTAAGCAACACCTGGTCTTGGCCCGACCCTTTGAGACCTTTTCCTAGGAGCAATGTCTGCTGGGATACCTTGGGATGCCTGACAGGGGAGGGGTTCTGATTGGTTCGCACAAGACCAGGTGTGCCCACAGGAGTCTGTGATACCTGGAACAAAGAGAGGAGAAGGGAAGCAATTAAGGCAGCGCTTCAGAGCAGGGATGACTTTTAGTGATATTTCCTCGAATAGCAAAGCAGTGACGAGTGTGTTTGGGTGGAAACCAACAGAGTAAACAATGAAAACGTTGAATTTTTAATGCTTCTTTTCAACAAAACCACTAAATTAATACTTTAACAATGGACAGCTTCATCCACAAGCAGATTAAAACTGTCTCCATCAGGCAGCTCACATCTGTTTATAGTTCTTTTAATCTCATCTGTCAGGTTTAATTTAAAGATTTGAAAAACTGGTTTGTAAAATTTGTTGTCAGAAACTGTTCGGCATGTTTTTAGGCAAAGGAGTGGATTTTAAATCAGAAGTTCAGACTTGAATTAAAGGGGTTTAATAAAAGTATTCCCTCAAATATTCAGGAATTACAGACATTTTAATGCACAGTCGCTCAGAATTCATTAGACAGCTGTTTAATATGTTTTCATGGCCACCAAATGCAAGTGTTTCGTTTGCATTTGTTTGCTTTTTCAGAGCAACTCTCAACACGAGGTCCAGATAAATGTCAGTGAAGACAAACAGGCCGTCACTCGACGGGAAAGTCCAAATAAAACAAATAAAAACATCAGACAGAAAGAAAAAATCCACATTCTGGTGCATCGGCCAGCTCGGCAACACTACGAGACTTTAAAGACCACACGATGCTCTCAGGGAGGATCAACAGGGTGCAAACCACCGGTTACACTCGAGAACAGGAGCCAGATTAGACTTTAGCAGAAAACGCGCACGGCTGGCAGCGGAAGCAGGTCACGAGTGTTTACTGATGATGCGATCGCTGAGAGAAGCGGCGGGGCTGTAAGCTCTGCTCAGATTCAGACAAACGCTGCAGGACTGACCGGACAGAGCGTCGGAGTGCAGACGGACAATGAGCCGAACCACAAAAGCGACCCGGCGCAGAGAAACGCGATCCTCTTCAATGGCCACGTCGGGCACCTGATCTCAACCCAACACAGCAGCTTTTCAGTTACTGAAGGAAGAAAGACACAAACTTACTTCTGTTGAGCTCTTTGGATTAAGCGGAAAGTCTGAACTTCGATCACAATCAGTCGATTGTTTCGTTTAAAATCGCAGCGGTGGCCATCAGGTATCAGCGACTGTCCTTTTCTGTTGCTGACATCCAGCTAGTGAAGTTTATGATTTCATCTCAAGCTCGTGTTTTTAAAGCTCTAACGTGAGGAACTGTGCAGACTGTGCAGCAACGCCTGCATACAGAGTGTGAACGCCAGCGTCTCTGCAGCTCGCTCACAGTTCAGCCTGTTCACTCACTGAATTAACAGAGAGTGAGGCCCGAGTGTAAGGATGTGAAATGCACTCAGATGAAAGCAAACAAAGAGGAAGCTGTAACCCCAAACAGTCAAACACTGACCCAGATGGAGCCCGACAGGTGAAAGGTCGGAGGCGTCGTCTCACGAGCTGTCTGTCACTCTCATATTGAGATTATTCCTGATCTTTCTTTTTAAATCAGATCCGTTTGTTCGGGTCCTGAAAGGTCAGCTGTCGCTTTCAACAGTTATTTCAACATTTAATGAAACAGCTTAAAGTATTCTCACCACCACGTGTTACAGAAATATGAATAAAATACAGATTCAGTC